TTTAGGAGTCAGCTTCATGATCATATTCATTGAAAGTTCTCTCAATTTTGTATGTTTTGTTCAGTTAGACTTCCTTTCCCATTTGAACAGAATAAATGTGAAGTTTGTAAACCGCTTAATAAGCCGACTATTTTCTCTTCTTTTTCCTCCTTTTCAGTTCTTTATTTTTAGATACTAAAGTATTCGTTCTTGTGAAATTTGCAGGCTGTGGGTCCACACCTTCCTCGCAGCTGTACTAGCCGCCTTAATCCTATCATGGTAACATATTATGCAAGCAAGCATGTTATATGAGTTAAAAATAGAATTACAAACAATTTTTTGTGCCCCTAGCCTAATCTTCTGTCAACTTTCTCTTCCACAGTGTTTCTTCCCTCACCGTTTAATAGCAGATGTCAAGACACCATTATTTCTCGTCAATGCAGCATACGACTCATGGCAGGTTTATCTTTTTTGACTTGATTTTTTTTCAGATGAATTGTGTGTCTGTCAATGTGTGCATTGTGAATTATTTTGAATTTGTCGTTGTACTAGCGTCTTTGAGAAAGGAAAGTATGCAGCTATGACATCATCTATTTAACTATGAATTTGGGATGAATCAGGCAATCAGCATCATCTAATAGAACTTAATTTGTGGATTTATTAGCAACAGTTGCATGGCTTTTGACTGCCCTCCTCATCTTATTATCACTAGTTAATAAGTGTCATCCATTTTTAGTATGTATTAACTTACCTTAATCAGATGTAGAGCATTTTAAAGTAGCTCTTGATGAGAGGCTAATGTTCTTGCTTGATAAGTGAGTTATTATAGTGTTTAGACCTAGAACCCATGGTGTCCATGGCCTCAAATTTAATTTTCAGTTAAAGGCTTCACTGGCGCAATTCACAACACCCTACAACTTTTTGGTTGGGTATTGATAGAGTATAAAACATATTGCTGGGCCTCAACCATCAGCTTAAGCTTTTTTAGCTTAAGCTGATGGTTGAGGCCCAGCAATATGTTTAATACTCTATCAGGTATCGCCATTGCTCTGGAGTTGGGGGACCATAACTAGACCAAATTAAAATGTTACTGTTTCTGTCTTGTCTTTGCCGAGTAGTAAATACATGGCAGGACCCAAATTGATTGGTTGATTGGACTGTTCAACTATCTCTACACTGCATTAATCTGCCACCTTTTTTCAATTTTTGCGTATCCACTATTGTTCAAACAATCCTTACTCTCTTTCATAATAGAAGAGAGAAATTAACCCAAATGACTTACCTATGATCCCAAATTTTGCTTCAACCAGATTCAAGCAAGTTTAGCTCCTGCATCTGCTGATCCTCATGGAAACTGGTATGGATGCAAGTTGAATAATGCACACTGTAGTGCTCCTCAAATCCGATTTCTCCAAGGTTCGTTATAGCTATCTTATTTTCATATCCGGTCTTCTCATATCCTGTTATGTTTTGGTTCCTTTCTTTATTGATAGGCTTGCATTGAAACAAATTACTGAAACTGAACCATTTTGAAACAGGTTTTAGAGGACAGATGCTTGGTGCAATTAGGCGCTTTGGTAAGTTCAGAAAGAATGGGTATTTCATCAATTCATGCTTTTCTCATGGCCAGACTGAGAGACAGGATACGTGGTTTGCCCCTGGCTCACCTCACATTGGAAATAAAGTATGTTCTTGATCCTGTTTAGTTCCCATTGTTTTATAGTCCTCGAAAAAGCATTGCTTTGCCAATCAATGGTCATTTTAGTTTCTCAAGTTATAGTTTAGAAAATTGAATTATTATATTGTGGGTATATAAGGCCTATGTGTGCTTTGTGCCATGTCGATAGTGCATGTTTACATTAAAAGCTATAGTAAAAATATTCAAATATTAGGGCAACTAAAACTTCCAGGAACAAAATATTCCAGCTCATAGAATCGCTATTACAAAATACTAACTAAAGAATGGATACCATTTCATAACCAAAGCATCAATCATATACCTATAGCCTTGGTCAATTGGGCAATAGACGAGCTTTGCTCATCTAGTCATCTTCAAGTATTGCTAGTCCCTGATAACTCTAGTGGATCCTATTGGTACTAAATCATGCTGACCAATTTCTGTACCAAAAAATTACTTTGTTAGCAACAATAAGAATTCAGGCTTTGTAAATACCTATAGACTTCTTTTACCGAACTCAATTGGTGCCTACAATGCACAAATTAGTACCAATAGGATCCCATTTGAGTCTTCAAGGACCTTTGTGACTAGAGGTAGAGACTTTCTCATCATTGAATGATCAGCCCTTTCCTTTTTCCACCCACTTTTTTTTTTTAATTTTAATTTTTAATTTTTATAGTTATGACCATTAATGTCTTCATTTTTTAAATAAGCCAATCCAACTGTTTCTGTTTTTCGAGGAAAGCCAATCCGACTCTTGTACCCTCTTTTTTTTTGGCATCGTTTTGTCAATAAAAGACCAACCTATGTAACTTTGTACGATTTTTTTTTCATTTATTATTAGTTTATGCATTTGTTGTGTAATATTGCACCTTCATGTTTCTGTTTCTTGTTTCTATGTAAAACATAGCTCAGTCACGAATTACTATTGTTGACCCAACACTGCCCTTTGTAACCATAGTAATAGGCATTTGTGCTTTATTTAACCTTTGTTCTTGCCCCATTCATTGCATCAGTTGATTAGCGATTTTGTCATCCAATATTTACTCCAGTCAATCCAATTATCATCTTGTTAACATAAGTTATGTATAATATGCAGGGGATCGCACAGTCGGTTGGCAACTGGTATTTTGATCGAGCAGAGACGAAAATCATTGATTGTCCCTACCCTTGTGACAGAACTTGTCACAATTTGGTTTTTGCACATCTTTGAAAGCCTATTCAATTTTTGAATTCACACACCCAACCCAACACGACCCAAACAAAAAAAGAATACAATACAGCTGCACATCATTTCATAGTTTTATAGCAAGCATAGATAGATTATACTTCATAGTATCTATCAATAAAACCTTTCTTCGACTATCAAAAATCACTATTGATTTGCTCGAGATGTAATCAAAGAATTTATAGCTGAGATTGAAGCTTATAACATTTGTGCTTGAGTTAAGCCCAAGTTTCGTGTGGGAAGTTTCAGTGTTAAACATGGCTTATGAATCACACTGCAGCATACTCATACAAACATAGGCTTGGAGCTCAAAAGTGTAAAGGTGGAGGCTAAGCATTAGTCCTCGGAGAAAGACGAAAAGCAGTGAAATAGTATATTGGAATAGAGTATAATGTTGTATACTAGTATGCGCGGCTGTGCAAGGAGAAAGAATAGCAGCAGAGTTTCCAGAGCAATGCACAGCGGCTTATATCATAATATATGTTGTTTCCATTCATTTAAATGTCTGTATAAGTACAATTTAAGACGATGCTTAATATAAATTTAAGTGTAATACATTATCATTTTGGTTATTTCTCTCTTTACTTTTTATTTTTTAAGAATCAAGTCTAAGTGTCACTAATAGATTGGTATAGCTAGAGGAAATACAAGTTGATATCAGATATTAACAAAACTTGTTAATATCAAGGCTAATTTTGTAAATTTAGCTACCACACCAATGGTAATTTTGTAATTTTAGCAACTACACCCCCTTTCTCTCCCCTCTATCACCACCGTGCAACCTCTACTACCACCTACAGCACCACCTTTACCTTCACTAGCCAACTACCGCACGTCTTTTACCTCACCAATCGACCCCAGTCAACCACCACACGACCTTCACCAATCGACCCCAATCGACCACCACACACTCTCCAGCACCACCAGTCGATCGAGCACCAACATTGGACCGCCGCAACACCACCAGTACGAGCAAATCCCTTTCTCTAAAGGGTTTGTGTGGCCCCAATTTTCATAAATTGCTACTACGGTGTCACTTGGCCGCTTTAGATCCGCAAATGTCGTCGACCTTGGGTATGGGAATGGAGGAGAGAAGGAAGTAGTGGCCATGGGAATGGAGGAGAGAGAGAGAAAAAATGGTCATGTGAGGGGAGGAGAGAGAAAAATTGGTGATATTAACATAAATTTGTTGATATTAGTTATTAACTGGGTCTGACTCGTATAGCTAGGTATAAAATTAAAGTTATAATTATTTTTGAATTAGTGTTACGAGTATAACTTTTATATAATTCAATACAATAACTCTTTATAAAATTTAATAACAAACGTGCATTGCACGGGACTTAAACTACTTTATCCCTAAGAAAAAATAATCAAATCGAATGAGTTTTGTTTGATTCGTCTCAACATATATTTTCCAAATATAAATTTTTATTAGTTTTGGTAAATACATAATTTAAAATGTTATTATTATTATTATTATTATTATTATTATTATTATTATTTATCCATTTACAAAGGGTGAACCGAGTAGAATACCAAACAAATGCGTTAAATAAAATGTGTCAACTAATATGAAACACAAGCAAAAAATAAATAAATAAATAAATAAAAGCAATGCTTTTGCTATAGTTTGATTAAAGCCGCTAACACTAATAATATGAAGCACTTGGTAGGGTGTAAAACATTTTTGGATGAAAATAATTTTTCATGGAAAACCTATTACATTAGAAAAGTCATTTTTATGAAAGTTTTTTTTTGGTTGCATGTAACATGATTTTTCATTTTAAGCATTTTTCATTGTTTAGTTGAACTGAAAATTAATAACTTCAATTGTGAGGGAAAATGTTTTCCCTCCACTTGTGATGGAAAATGCTTTCCTTTTGGAGAAAAATGTTTTCAATAAGGTGGAAAATGATTTTACACCCAAATTTTACATTTTAATGTTTTACACCAATCCAAACAATATAAAATGGGAAAACACTTTTCAATGAAAATATTTTACACCCTACCAAACGGAGCCCAAGTGAAAATTACACCATTTCTTTTTAACTAGTGCATTACAAATTTATCACATGATAAACGAACTAAATTTGTATTTTCACCTCCATATCTAACTAATTATCCATTTAATAACAATGTTATCACATTCCTCCTAACCAACAGGCGGGACAAGAGTGTCAGTACAGAGACACACAACAATTCATCCTCTCCAACACTAGCAGAGAAGAGAGAATTTCATAGCTAAACAAGCTCAGAACTTCAACAATGGCGGTTTCTTCATCTTCCATGAACACCGCCTTTGCTTCTCCTCAATCCGAATTCATGTCTCTACTCAAACAACGCTTCAGTTCATTTCATCCATGGCGTCCTCACCTCGCAGCTAACCCCAAACTTCCCGCCATTTTTACGCCTAAATCGAGGTCTGAACTTCAATTACTTCCTTAACTCAATTCATTCTTAATCATATTGTTGACTATCGATTAATCATACTCAATTTCATCCATTGTTTGTAATTATGAGTTTGCAATTGAATTTGAATTTCTGATAATACTGTAAATTACTGTATGCTTCTTTCAATTGAAATTGTAATATGAAGTTGAAACGCAATTATGTAGACTATATTTTCAATAATTTCGAATGTGTGCAGTATTTTTGTATGTTTAGTGAAGAGATAATCCTGGAGTATCTGGCTAAGGAATTGTTGGATTTTGTAGAAGTATGACGGTTAGGGTTAATGCTGGTTACAAGAAGAGGCCGATGGATGCACCGGGGGCGTACGAGTTGATTGATGAGGAGAGTGGTCAGAAAGTGATTCTTTGGGGTGGAGTTGATGATGTTGAACCTTCAATTCCTAGTAAGAAAGTACTTTCCTGGACTCCTAGTAAGGATAAGAAGAAATCTTCGAATGCTCGGGAAATTGTTGAAGGTACATCCTTTTCAGCTTATAGGTTTTGTGTAATGGACTTTGATAACCTCTTTGATTATGAATTATGTAACTTACTTATGTTGCCAGCTTGCCATTTCTCGGTTTAATCCATATTATGTGCAATTTTTCTGAAGTTGATGCTTGTTATAATGTTTACAACTTTTGTTGTTGCCTTTTTGGTATTTATAGAAGAAAACAATCTTCTTGGTGGAGGTGGAGGTGTGACTTAAATGGTTGTTGTTAACGGATGAACTTAGGAAAAAAAGGAAAGGGGTGGTGAAGGTGTGACTTTTATGGTTTTTGTTAACAGATGAACTTAGAGGAAAAGGAAAGAGGTGGTGGAGGTTTGATTTGTATGGTTGTTGATGACGAATGAACTAAAGGATTTATTTTCTTGGTTGGAGGGAGTTAGGAAGGATATAATGAACAATTTTCTTGGTTAGAAAGGATAGAAGTATATGGATTTGCATGAGAATGAGGCATTTGATTGTAAGGGATGGTGGAGGAGGATTTTTATGGATGACTATACGGAATAATTACTTTTTGGTTCATGTAGTCGACCCCACTTATGAGATTAAGGCTTTGATTGATTGATTGATTTGGAACAAAAAAGAAATATAATGAACAATTAACTTTAGAGCTCCTTCCTTTCTATTATGTTCCACTTGCTTTTATAAGTGGGTTATGCAAAGATCATCCTTTTTATCCATTAATTTGATCGTTGAAAAAGGGTTTGATATGAGTTCTAATAGATGAAAGTTCTTTTCTTTTTTTTTTTTTTTTTTTTTTTTTTTAAATTTCTTATTTTGTAAAGAAAATTCTGTATCCTTGATTTTACTTTTTTTATTTTAACAATTTTATTTTTCTTTTTTTTTTACTTTTCTATGTATCCTTCATAGGCAGTGAACCTTCGTCTGCTGTTCAGAAAAATGTTATGTCATCTCCAACTACTCTAAGATTGTCTAAGGGTATTGGAAGGTTGAAAGCTGTCAAAATCAAAAGCATTGTAAGAAGGACTTCAAGAGAAAAGGAGAAAACTAACGATTATAGATATGAAGAGCCAGATTTGGATGAACTAGATAATGATGATGATCCAATTGTATCGTCGGATCCTCAAGGTGTCTGGATCAGAAAGAAAAATATTTCTGCTAAGAGTGGCATTGAGCAGCTCATGGAAAATAAATTGTCAAGGAAACCTGTTGAGCGAAAGGATAACTTGACTGATGCTGGCTCATATGTTTCTGCTACTCATTCAAGAGGATGGAATGATAGAGAACCAAGACGTGCTTATAGGGGTGAATCAAGAGACTTGACACCTACACGTAAATATAATGCTGGGAGTGACTTTTTCAGTCGAAAATCATTTAGAGAATCGGGTTGTGGTGATGAAATGATTGAGGCTCTGAGGGTACAGGATTTTGTTCGCCCTTCAAACATTCAGGTACATCAATTTATTGCTTGTAAAGTTCATTTGGAGTTTTTAAGCTACTCTTTTGTCCTATTTACTTCGTTCATGCACCTATTGTGTATCATCTAGTCTTGTGTTTGTCTTTTCTCGCTCTTGCGAACAGTAGAATCTGGTCAGTTGTGCCATTTAATATATTGTTTCAAAGTGATTCCTTTTCAAACATTAATGAGTTTAAGCCTATTTTACTTTTCTTTTAGTTTAAAAAGTAATTTTTCAACATATTATAACCCTATCTATCATAATATGAGTGGGTACCATAATTGTTGAGCAAAATATTACTTAAAACATCATGTTTTATAAACTACATAACTAATTACTCCATACTATATATTTTTGGCCAATTTAAATAGGAAAATTGTAATCTAATAATCCCACCTTTAGTCGGTCTTCCAGAAACAATCCGACCTTTTGAAATTCCAGAAACAATCACACCTTTAATAGGGATCTTCTACTAACAATCCCTTTGATCTACAACTTGTTAAACAGGTTAAAAAAATATTCCCTTTTTTTTAAACTTCTCTTCTCCGACCACCAGTCACCACCATGGCCACCCCAACCCTCACTCGCCGGAAAACTATAACAACCCCCAAAACCCAAACCCCGCCCAAAAAACTCCATCCACAACCCCGAAAATCCCCACCAACCTTGAAAACTCAACCAACTCAGCCCGAAAACACCACCCACAGCCCCAAAAAACTCAACCCTCAGCCTGAAAAACTCCACAAAACCACCCCATGATACCCACCTATACAAAACCCACCACCCCTACAAAACCCACGCCTACAGCCCCACACAACCCAAGCACCACCCCGACGAAATCCCACCCCCACGAAAATCTCAAAATTCAAGCCCCAACCCCAAAAGACCCACCTAGCTTAGCCCTCAAAACTCAACCGCCAGCCCTCGACGGAATCCCACACCCCTCACTCCGCCACTCCTACTCCCCAGTTGTCGATTTCTGGTCGCGAGGGTGCCTAGTTGGGTGTTCGAATTATATCATCGTTGAACTCCGGATTGTGCGAAATTGATGGTTGTGGAAGGGGTGTGCTTCTGGTGGTGTTTTCGGGCTTGAGGATGATGGTTGCAGGGTTGCCGGGGAATGCAAGGGCGGGGATGGGGAGATGAGTGCAGTGGCTGGGCTAGTGGCGGGGCTGAGGGTTTTGTTTGTTTGTTTTTTTTTTTTAAATTAGATTCTTTTTAACTATTAAAAATTAGACTAAACCTATTAAAATCTAACACATGTCTTATAACTTAAGAAAATCGGTTACCAAAACAATCCAAGCAGTCAGGGATTGTTAATGGAAGATAGGGGCTAAAGGTGGGATTGCATCTGGAATTTCAAAAGGTGGGATTGTTTATGGAAGACCGACTAAAGGTAGGATTATTAGATTACAATTTTCCATAAATAAAAGACAGGATGTAAAGGTAAAAAATTGTTCTAACGTGGTGAGCCATCGTTACATAATGGAATATGTGGTAAAAGGACGTGATTTTTGTTGTGGATTCTGCAGAATGGAAAAATCCAACATATATATTACTGAACAACCATTCTGTAACAGAATGGCTGATTTTTAATTCCATCCAAAATCTGACATCCATTTTGCACCATACTGTCATGGTATTCCTACCAAACCCCCTATTTGCCCAATTAACTGCATCATATTGTGCAGAGTAATTCAGAAGCTATTTTCCTCCAAGGCTAAAAGTTAATGCCAATATTAAACATAAAGAAAAAATTACAGTACTTCTGATTGGTTTCCATTATGTTTTGTATACTATGAGTGCTATATACACTTCATGAGACTTACTATCACTTGAGATTGTTGAATGCAGGCAATGGCATATTCTCCTGTGGTAGAGGGGAAGAGCTGCATTATAGCTGATCAAAGTGGATCAGGGAAAACATTGGCATACCTGGCTCCAGTTATTCAGCGTCTTAGACAAGAAGAGATTGAAGGAATTAGTAAATCGGCAGCAAAAAGTCCTCGAGCTGTAATATTAGTCCCAACTGCCGAGCTAGCTTCCCAGGTGAGCTGATAATATGCCATGATTGCCATCTTCTTGCTTGTGCATCATCTAGTGTTTAATATGCTTCTATTTTTAATATTATACCTGTTTTGTTATTGCTCAATATGCTCATTCATAACATAAATTTTCTCCAAAGGCATTTCTTATGTTTCTTCTTAAACTTCACAAATTGACATGCCCTTTTCTCTTGAATATCCTTGTTTTACTGGGAATATACTTGAGAAACACATCATTTTCTTTGTTTAATGGTTTTCCTTTATTGATTAATATGTTACAACATGATATGCAAGTTATAACTAAATATTTGAACATTATTGTCGATTGTGAATGGTAATATATGCGAGGAGCATGGAGCCTATGTGCCTGAAATTAGAATAACTAGTCAGAAGTGTTCTGAAATCCTGTTCTTAGTGGGGTCCACCCTGTGACAGTGGCTCTAGACTGTCTTGATTTTAAAATTTTGTTACACTGAATCTGCACTCTATTTCGCTCATGTTTAAATGCAGGTTCTGCTGAATTGTCGATCCATCTCAAAACATGGTGTTCCCTTCCGGTCTATGGTTGCAACAGGAGGCTTTCGACAGCGAACTCAGTTGCAGACTCTTGAACAGGATTTGGACGTGCTTATTGCCACACCGGGACGTTTCATGTACTTAATCAAAGAAGGGTTTTTACATTTGACAAACCTTAGATGGTATATATCCTCTCTCTCTCTTCCACAGTAGTAATTATGCTCCCTTATCTCTTAGTAGTTTCTTCCACAGTAGTAATTATGCTCCCTTATTTATATTACATTATTACTTTTTTTTTTTTAAGGGATTCATATTACTTATTTATTACTCCTTTATATAATTCATGTATGTGACGGTAAAGGAAGCATTCTTTTTAATATCTTTTCTGCCAAATGATTACTGCTTACATGTGAGAGAATCTGTTACCTTGTTTACCATGCTGTCAATAAGGAAACACTTTTGATACCAGTGAAGAAATTAATTGTAGTTGCATGAGTAGAAAATTAGTTAGAAACATTGAAGGTTTTCTCTTTCTTCTCTTCTAGTTTGTTGTCAACTGTGAGGTCATCTCAACTTGTGGAAAAAAAATACATTTTAGATACTGAATTTACTGGTCTGGAAATAGGCGTTGTGCTGTAGATTATAGATATGATTATACCTGGGTAATTCAAGTCACCCAAAACTATATACTATGATTTTGAGTCAAATCAAAATTATCTGGACCCAATTGGAGCTTGAGTCAACTCAAAAATAAATATGAATAATATGATTGATTTTTCATAACCGTTAAATTTCAATAGACCCAATGTGATCCTGAGTGAATTGATCTGAACTGAATCAAATGACTCATTAGCCTAATACTACCCAAACTGAAATAACTTAAATCAAACCCAATGGGAACGATCAATTTCCACCCCTAGACATGAATATACATGATTGAACTAGATATTAAGCACATTCTCTCACAAGATCAACAGGATATAACTCCCTCCATCCCACTAAGATTGCCTTTTATACCCTTTAATTCACCTTTTAAAGAGTTCATTTGAAAGCATGTAGTGTTCTTATTTGTCTTTTAAGGTTGCACATGGATTGTTAAGGGAGGAACATATACTAGTAAGGGAATGGGGCAAACACAATGGGACATCCAATTCAGGATAACTTCGTGGGATGAAAGAGTAAGAGATAAGAGCAGATGATAGGTACCAATAAGACGGTCATAAAATTTGATCTCTTGTCAGTAGTACCAGGATAAAGCATCTTACTAAATTTGTTCTGAACTTCTGATGATGATGCACTGTGTTTGAAAATTTAAAGACAATTTTTATATTGTCTTCTAATGCAAGTATGCAACTGTTAAGCTGGTTTAACCTGTATGATTGAGTGTCAAACTCTCATTACTACACGTATACATCTGTGAGAACTGAGAAAAGTCTTTGGCAAAATGAATACAAGTAGATGAATTCATTGCAAGAATAAATAAAAGATGGTAGTGTAACCTGTCAATTGACAAAAAGCCAGTCCTTCAACATTGGTGTTCATAATTCCTTGTCGTAGATGGGACGTTAAGGTTTGAAGATTTCATAGAGATTATGAGAATAGTGCCATCATAAGGTGACTATTAATTGGGATTACTGGATTATGAATCACTTACATATCAATTGTATTTACTGTCAAGGCCTTAAGATTATGGTCAGTCAGTTTTTTTAAGCAGATATTTGCATATATTTCAGAAATATCAGATCAATAGATCATACCAGACCAGATCATATCTTTTTTATTTGTATTTATTTATCACAAAATTTCTTTTATTCCGTAATAATAATAATAAATTACAAAAATTTCATATTTGGAAAGTATACATTAATATGAATTTAATGACATTTCATATGATTAAATTTTATCTTAAGAATTAGTGTACAAATAAGGTCCAAGTTTAGTCAAACCTGGAAGTCAAACTAGGTCAATTAGAAGTATTGAGACCATGGTCTTGTGAATGGAAATTCATAGTCAAGGCCTTCCATCCTACCAGTATTGTTCTACAATAAATGTCTTTGTGTAATGAGATATTTGCTTGTTCCATATTGGGTGACATTGCAAGTTGGTTGTACGATGCTTAATATGACATTGGTTACGGGCTTGCCTTTTTTTTTCTTTAATTTGCTTTCAGATCTTGTAGGCTTACTGTAATGACAGCTCAGTAGTTTCACTTTCATCTTACTCTTAAATTTGTCACAGTGCTGTGTTGGATGAAGTGGATATACTCTATAGTGATGAAGATTTTGAACAAGCTTTGCATAGTCTAATAAACACAGCACCAGTTACTACGCAGTACCTCTTCGTGACTGCCACATTACCTGTGGAAATTTACAACAAATTAGTTGAGACCTTCCCAGATAGTGAGGTGATCATGGGTCCTGGAATGCATCGGACGAGCTCCGGTCTTGAAGAGGTGCGTATTATACTACATTCATTTTGAAACCTCTTTGAATCTGTTATCTGACATTACTTAAATTATGCACAAGAAATTCTTTCCGTGTGCCGTGCCTGTCTAGTTTCTAAATTACTAGTCTGCTATATGGAGCTTCAATATTCAAAACATAAAGAGGAGATTTTTGGTTTTTATCTATGCTTGAAGAGTGGCACAAAGGCTTAATAAAAACCGTTGAGTCATCTTTTGGTTCTCAAAAGCAGAGATATTAGCTTTACTGTAAACTGAAATATTCTGTAGGCCGTAACTCTATTGACATGTTGAAGCCCATGGCTCTTCCTATAGATTTGACATCTATTAACTGAAAAAATCTTAAACAAATGACAATGTGGATGACTCAACCAGTTACTGTTGTTGAGCAGGTTCTTGTAGATTGTAGTGGGAATGAAGGGTCAGAAAAGACCCCAGAAACAGCGTTTGCCAATAAGAAGTCTGCCCTCTTGAAGCTTGCAGAGGAGATTCGAGTTTCTAGGACTATTATATTCTGTAATAAGGTAATTTGGACTACTTTCCATTCTGTGCATACTTGTGAATGATTAGATTGCTTCTTACTTTCAGTCTTTGATATATGTAGATTGAGACATGTCGAAAGGTTGAGAATGCCCTGAGACGTCTTGATAGAAACGAAAATCAGATACGAGTTTTACCATTTCATGCTGCTTTGGAACAAGAAACAAGGCTCACGAATATGAAGGAGTTCCTTAATTCGAATACAGAAAACCGCTCTCTGTTTCTAATTTGCACTGACAGGTTTGTCACTGATGCTTTTGAGTTTTAACCAAAAATAAGCTTGGCTCTTCTCTATTTACGTTATAGTCATGTTGATCGAACTTGTCAACAGCTAAAAAGTATTGGCAATTTTGATTAATTATATGACCTATTCAGATTATTTTTTTTCTATCTGTGAAGACTTCAGTCCTTTTGTCACTGACATCACTACTTAGGGACGAAATGAAAATTGCATTTTACATAATCAATTGTTAGATTTGTTTTAATTTGGCCATCTTGCTTGCTAAAAGTAGTATAGTACTCACTACTCAGCTACTCACATCCTGTGTTTAGAGTTCCTAATTTTGAGTGCTGAAACATTGTTATAGGGCTTCACGGGGAATTGATTTTCCTAGCGTGGATCACGTTGTACTGTTTGACTTCCCTCGCGATCCTAGTGAATATGTACGTCGTGTTGGCAGAACAGCAAGAGGTGCAGGAGGTATAGGCAAGGCGTTTGTGTTTGTTGTTGGTAAGCAAGTTTCTCTGGCGAGGAGGATCATCGAAAGAAATTTAAAGGGTCATCCTTTACATGAAGTGCCTTCTGCTTATGAATTAGTACGGTGATAAGGCCTGGACAGACCTGCAGTCGTGATTAGTTGTAAGGGGTCAGGTTACTTGTGTAATTTTTAACCTGACTCCAACATTTTTGAGTTGTAAAATAAATTATACGAGTAGTTATCATGGCTAATCATTTAATTGTTAACGAGTTATAGTTGCTATTAGTAGGAGTCAAATTAAAGTATGATCTGGTAAAATGTATTGAAGTTTTTTTTAGTTGTGCATGTTGATAAATGTAAGATATGCTAAAATATAGTCTGTCAGTATGATATTTTACTGATTTATGGAAGGTATACTCTGTGCTAATGTAAATCGAGTCGGGTCACCAGTTCACCACTGAAGGTGCTAATGCTTGCCTAATTTCCTTGTAAAAGATGCTGGGTAAGTTGATAACGGTGGTGCTTGGCAGTGATTTAGGAGATGCGAAACAGAGGGAAATAGGAGGTAAAAGGATTCATTCAATTAGCTAAACGAGTTAATCAAGGTGTGATTTTCCCCTAAGTTTATTGCCCCTAATTAAGAAATTTTTAAATAGATTCAAATCTATTTATTTCATGTTTGTGGTTGATTTTGTGCTTTACGCAATAACGCATTTCAAGGTTGAGTAAAAATTAAACCAAAATTTTGATAACATGTTGAGAATAGAATAGTTGGAAAGCTGAAGTATATAGCAATGTATCAGTTATATAAAAATACAATGGTAACAACTAACCTAAGCTTAATCCTAGAAATTAGGTATATACATGGACTAACTATAATAACAAACTAAGAATGTATATCCAGTAATTACAAAAGATATAGACAGAAACATTTTAGATCAATGATAATCCCCTGTATCAACGGATGCGACTCACATGAGCAAATGGCTCACGAGTCGCTTCTTTCTTAGGCGTCGCTTGGTCTGGATTGCCAAATACATTCCAGATGCGCAAGGTTTCATCCCCTGCAGAAGCTACTGCCAAGCCATCAGGGCTCTGTAACATAAATTTCAGAAAATCAGTAAAATACAAATAATGAGGTAACTTAGGAAATGGAAGCTGCATTTCTCAATAAATCAAGAAATTTTACCTGAGACATGAAAAGTACTCTGGACGTATGTGAGCTCAGGAAGCCCATGTGAGCTCAGCAGCCCATGTGAGCCCATGTGAGCTCAGCAGCTCGCGCTCATTATTGCTCAGCAGCTGCATTTCCACAATATTAAATTGTTATCAGGAAGCCCATGTGAGCTCAGCAGCTCGCGCTCATTATTGCTCCATAGCAAAGCCGAAACCTGGGATCCAGTTCAAGCATGCACCAGTATTAATGTTCCAGAATTTTATGCATTGATCGTTCATGCCTCCTCCAGAAGCCATCATGTTACTCTGAAAGGGACACCAAGCAAGGGCTTTAACTGCAGCAGTGTGGTTTTGAATCCTGTGCAGCCACTGAGTAGCAGAATTTAAACTGGCCATTGATCGATCCCAGATGTGCACAAGGTTGTCGTTGCCTCCACTGGCTAGATATCGACCTGAAGGTGACCATTTCAACCCACAAACTTCATGCCGGTGTCCTCTGTAAGTTTCAACTATATGACTCCCGATTCTCAAGTCATTGTTTATGATTCTGCTGTCTGCTGATCCAGTGGTGAGGATGTTTCTGTTCCAAGCCAGTGAACCAATACGAGCTTGGTGACCTTCCCTTAATGTTCTCAACTGCAAGAACAAAACAATAACAGTAAAAAATCAAGTCAAACATAAAACCCTATAAAGCAGATGAGAAACAAGGACTACTAACAAAAACTAGAAATAAAGGAATATATGCAAGTTAGATTTATTCACCTTTCTACTGGCCGTGGAATCCCAGACCTGAATTACAGAATTGTCCAAGCCAATGGCTATATGACGACAATCAGGCGCCCAGCTCACACTAGTTACTGAGCCTTCATCATCAGAAACAGTCACAAGCTCCGATGTAGAATGTGTGGATGCATCCCACAGGTATACCGTGTTTTCAAGAGCAATGGCAAGAACATTGCCCTTACCCCAATCGAGTAAGTTCAAGTAGTAGTCATTTACCAGGCCAGGGCAATCCAGTATGCGCTCTGCAGTCTGCAACACAATCAGAGTGTACATTTTAAGAATAGAACCAAGAAAATATCAAAAAAGAGCAGAACACAGTAAGAATATGGTGTTGGACCTAGGCACTAAGCAACAGGCAAGTTCACATGTGTAGGCTAAGCAAGATTAGGCACTTCAGTTCAAGATGATTGGTAACTCATACCTAACATTTACATACAAACACATTCAGAACTCCGAAAATAAGTTATAGTATACATTCAAATTTTCAAAATTATGCCTCAGAAGTCCATAAATAAATAAATAAACATAATATATTATTATATCAAACTATGTAACCTTTTATTCTCTTTTGCTTAAGAGCTTTGGAAAATTGTTGCCAATACGACCAGTCATACATGTTTATCATACACTAAGCCCTAAACAGATAATTTGACGGTAGAATTGTAGAAATTAGACTAATTCATAATTGATTAACAACAACTCCCAAAGAAAGTTACAAAAGTTCACAATCATATACCAGTATATAAATTGTATTAAACACATCATAATATCAATCTCATCCAAGTAATTAAAAAAGAGAGAAACAAGTAAATAACACAAGGGTTCATGATTAATTTCTTCTTTAAAACAATGTCTTAATAATCAACATCACCAAAACAACAACATACAAAACAAACATGATTTTTTATGACATACTCATCTACATAATATTCAGACTCATTTCCACAACACCAAATTATAACACAAAACTGAATTCAAAAACACAGAAAAGTGTATAAACCTGAGGAACACGACGTATTCGCTTTCGAAGAGACACAGCCTCCAAGCTGGGGGTGGCAATGGGATGTGGGGCAGGTGGTTTGTTACTGAAAGCAAGAATCCTTGGCCTGTTCATCCCAAACACCTCCTTCAAACGCTGCCGGTACGCTTCCTTCGACGGCGAAGAGGGAGATTGGTCCTTCTCCTTGTTCTTCTCCTTCCACCCTTCTGTCAGCATGTAGTGAGCATAATCGAAATCCATAGCTGATCTGTTTGGAATGAATCGATCCAACTCCAACTGATTTTTTCAAATCATTCCCAAAAAACCTCAAAAAAACACAAATTATCAGTAGCCGTTAACCTAATTTCCGATAATGATTCAAAATCAAGAAAGAAAGAGGGATTAAATTCTTACGTTTTCTTTGATTCGATTATGGGTCAAATTGTAGCGAATGTGAATTGACATGGTGTAAAATTGATTGAATTGCAAGAATTACCAAGTTCCGACGAATGCAAAAAAACCCTAAAATTCAAACAACAACAAAAACAACAGCAACAACAACAACAAAAATAATACAAAAGAAGAAATATACAGAGCAAATAAAACAGGGTTAGTATTAAAGAAGAAGAGAAATTGAAAAAAAAAGAATGTTACTGAATTACGACAACGAAAGGTTGGCGCTTGCAGAGAAGAGAGAGAAATTCAGAGAGATTTCAGTAAATTCAAGCGTCGACAGTCGGTTGTTTGACGGAGATGATGAAGATGATGAATGAAACTGAGGCAAACAAGTTGAATGTTTTATAACGGTAAAATAATATTTTATGGGCGCGCTTGTAACTTGTAAGTAGAAATATTACCCTTATACACTTGGGTGTAACGTAATTATGAGTTGTTATTTGTCTAGCAGCCTAGCACCACATTACTAAATAGGGTTTTTTATGTCGGTGAATTTTGTTAGGAGGGGTTTTGTTTGATGACTTTGGTTTTTTTGTTTTACCAAGTATTGTTATTGTTATTGTTATTGTTATTGTTATTTGTAACATATTGAAGGTAAAAAGTGTTGGAAAAAAATATCTATTGATTTCATGAATAATGATAACAGACAAATTAAGAACTTCCCTAAAACAAATTCGATCAACATACTTGAATTAAAGACATGTTCTTCTGTTGTGTCGTGGTTTGGTACCCACTGCCTTAAAAGCGAAATACGCCACCACCGGTAGTCCGATACAGGTTTTACGGTGACGCACGCCCCCCAAGTTTTACACAACAATCTCCACAATTCGTGTGCCTTCTGTTCATATTTTGTGTTTAGGGTTTTAAGGAGTGAATAAATCCATGACAATTGTTGGTAGCAAGTACATATATATATATTGAGAACCAAGGCTAAAATAAGAACTAGGAACTAATCTAGGCCCTTAGATCATGTTAATCCGAAAACTCACATGCTTCCCGTGTCATTAATGGCATTTTTGTAATATTTGAATGTTACAAACTGATTCACAGTTTCATTTCTAAAAGGACATTTTGTGAGAAACTAACTAAAGCAATTTTTTTGCGAGAAACTACCTTATAAAAAAAATGTTGTAATAAACTACCTTATAAAAGCTAAATGTTGTAAGATACTACCCCTTGGTCGGAAAGTGAACGTTGACTAAATTTTTCCGACGTTGACCAAGTCATGTGCCAGTCACATAACATTTAATTCATCTTGGGTATTATATAAATAGGCTCGGGGAAAATTAGGGGGAAATGGGGAAAGATGAATTAAACGTCACGTGACCGGCACATGACTAGGTCAACGCCGGAAAAATTAAGTCAACTCTCACTTTCCGACCAAGGGTAGTATCTTACAACATTTAGCTTTTATAAGGTAGTTTTTTACAACATTTTTTTTATAAGGTAGTTTCTGGCAAAAAAAATGCTTTAAAAGGTAGTTTTTCACAAAAGGTCATTTCTAAAAAGTAAATAAAAAGTTAGTAAAAGTAAATGAAATCAGTCATAAAGTAAATGAAATTGTCTTAAAAGTTTAAAAACTGGAAAAAAAAGTTGCAAAAAACGCATAATTACAAAAATGCCATTAATGAATGCGGGTGAAACGTGAGCCATCAGATTGAGTGCGATCAATGGCTGAGATTGGTTCTTAGTTCTTATATATATATATATATATATATATATGCACGTGATAGGAGGTAATTATCAAAGGAAATAAAACACACAAAATCACCTCACACCACTCGTCAAATCCCGCGCCCACAGGAAACCCCGCGGGTCTGTCCCGTGGCCTATTATGACAGTTCACCGAGACAGCCCGCCCGCAGGTTAACCTGAAGATCTTACATTATTTAATTATTAGCTTGAAGATTTGATCATGATCTTACACTTTATATATATATATATATATATATATATATATATATATATATATATATATATATATATAGGGGAAGGCTCTCGTGAGAATTTTTCTTATATG